TTGGAATGGGCTAAAGACACTCATAGGGTGTCTTTAGGAGTGAGGAGAAGTTAAAAGAGGGGCCAGGCGGGGGAGGTCAGAGCCGGAACCGCTGAGAGTGCAAGATTCCAAAGTCTAGGCAAAAATTTGAGCCCGGACGGACGGCGTTCAGAACATGAGGGATTGTTTCAACTGTTTTTTGAAAGAGGTAACAAAAGGTAGAGACTACGGTAGAGACTACAGAGGTCCAAGTTGAGGCAATGTGGAGGGCTAACTTCACCGTGGCCTCTCAGGTACACATTGCTTACTTAAGGAGACGTCGTTCCTTCCAAGGTCTCCACGGCTGTGCCCTGCCCCAGAGCCCACAATCATCATTCCAGCTGATCTCTCTGCGCCCAGCCACTGAAAGATCGCTTACCGGAATCCCCCCAAACCTCAACTGCAGTCCCGCAGAGCCGGCCAAAGGACGCTTAAGAGGCCACACTGTACAGGTGGTGGTTCTAGGTCGCGGCCTGAAGTCAGGGACGCCTCAGCTGCGGCCAGGGCCCTTCATCGCCCGAGCAGTCCAGGCCTTCTTTCTGCCAAGTCCGGACTGTGGACAAGCGGGTCCCGGCAGGGGGTTAAGGGTGACCGGCCCAGCTCCCCAAGGAGTCTCCGGGATTTGAAAAGCCAGAGCGCAGCGAGTCGTGTACGCTCCCTGCCATCCTACTAGCTAAACCCCAGCTAAACTAGCTAAACCTACTAGCTAAGCCCCAGGCAAGTCTGGGTCGAGAACAGAGAACTAGGCCTCAGCAGCACAGCCCACGCAGACCCGCGCAGGAAGGTCGAAGCCTCGCTTCCGCAGATGCCCCGAACCCGAGTCGCTACTATTAGGAGTCAGGAAGGGGCGCTGGGAGTCGGACTGGGGCCCCGGAGGGCCTTTCGCTGCTCCCCGCTTCAGCGGGTTCTCTGTACAACAGGCCAGGGACTCGGGCTAGGGAATTCAGGGAGATAAGGTAGAGCTACATACGCTCCCCTATCCCTGGCTCCGGCTCCAGTCCTCCGGGACCCAAGGCCTGGCCCGGGAGAGCCCAGCTTGCAGAGAAGGGGATGAGAAGGGAAATAGCTAGGGCTCTTGGGCCGAAAGAAAATGGGACTCAAGCTGAGACGGTTCTGCTAGGTTGCAACGTGAGTTTTCAAAGACTTTCTCCAAACTTAGCACTTCAGCTCGGTTACTTCGGAGGAGGCGGGGGAGGGGGCATCCGGCCGGAGCAGCGCTCGGGGGTCCTCCCCGCTTCAAGAGGGGAATCAGGCCTCTCCCCCAGCCCCGCCCACCTGCCGAGGACCCGGGAAGAGGGGATCCATTTGAGCAGCGGAAGGCAAGAGTTACCAATGCGCTCCCGAAGTTCCGAGCTGGCCCCGCGGCTTTCTCCTTACCTGCCCTCAGCTGCCAGGGCCGCTCACCATCTACCTCGAGCCCTCACAGAGCCCCGCCGGGCAGCCAACCTGCAAAACAGAGCGGCACAAGAATTACCCGGGCGGCTGGTCTAGGACCCCCGGGTTTCTTTCTTTTCCCAACTTCCTCCCTCCCATCTGAATCTTTTTTCCAGTGGCTTTGTGCGTGTCCCTCTAGGTTTCACTTTATTGCAGACACTTTGTTTGCAAAGCCCCACACTCTCTCAGGACATTGCCTCGCCCGGGATCGCGCCAAGGGGCCGCACGGGGGGGAATTCGAGGGGGCAGAGTTGGGAGGTGGCTCGCCGTTGCCGCGGCCCTCCCGGTGTAACGTGGAGGCGGTGGGGACTGGGAAGTCCTGCAGAGTCACTTTGCAAACTAAATAAATCAAGCGATTTACCTTGTCGGAGTGGCTTGTCTTGCTCGGTTGTTTAGGTGATTGGAAATGTAGCCTGATGAAGATTGATCACCTTTCTACTGCCCTCCCTGGGTATGTGAACGCGAGGCGAGTGCGTAACCGGGCTAGGCCGCCAATCGGGGGCCCCGCGCGGGCTGAGTGACAGGGAGCCGGGCAATGGCAGCGCGAGCTGGGGGTTACCTCCGCGCGCCCCCGCCCTCCCCCGCCCCTACACCCCGCCCTCCCCGTCTGCCTGCCCCGCCCCGGTCGCGCGCTAACTCTGGGGCTCGGCTGGCAAATGCGGCGCAGAGCTGGGCAAGGGAGGCGAAGAGAGCGTCCTAGTCCCGGCTGCGGAGGGGGCCGCGGGTCTTTAAGCCTGACCCGGGGCCCCCCGCCCTTCTCGTGCTCTCGGCGCTCCCAAGGGAGTGGCAGAGAGGAGGCGAGGTGCTGGAGAACCGGTTCCTTCGTTCTCCCGCGCGCCACCAGGCTCAGCTGCCCCGGTGTGAGCGTGAGGACTCGGGGCGGCCCGCTGGAGGAGACCGGGCCCCTGCCCCTCATGCGGCTCCGCGGGCCCCAGCGTTTCCTTCCTCTGAGCTGCCACCTGAGACCGACGCCCCGGGCGGCTCGTGCCGGCGCAGGCTACTTTGTCGAGCGCGGGGGCAGCTCCGGGCGCGCAGATCTCTCTTCGGCGCCTCCAGACTTCTGCGCCTGAGAAGAGCGCCTGCAGGGGAGGCGCCGCCACTTACCTGTTCTTCGGCGTCTCCTAGGGTTCCCGGTCCCCACCAAAGGTGTTTGCAAGTCTTAAACGATTCTTCTAAAACGCTGGAGTCCAGCATCCCTTTCCCCTCACACGTACACCCTACTTCTCAATTCAAACATTTTGATAGGAAACTTTCTCTCTCTCTGTCTCTGTCTCTCTTTCCTCTCTGTCTCCTTCCCGGTCTCCATCTACCAGGGACAGTCTGGTGGAAAATGTGGCCACGGACCCCAGCTTTCAATTTCTCCACGAGCTGCGGAGGGAGCCTTAGGACGATTTCCCCGGATTGTTCGTACTGGCGCAGCCCATTTCCCAGCAGAACAAACTTCGCAAACACTTATACCTGGGACTTTTGGCAGCGCAAAAAAAGTATTTTCGTACCAAGGCTGAGCAAGGCAATTCTTTTAAATGGCACTTCCTGAAAATTAGGCACTTTACTCCCTTTCGAGGAATTCCTACCCCTTCTTTCTAATCTCCCCCACCCTCATCCCAACAGGCGGAGTAAAAAGTTTGGACAAAAGTAAATGTGAGTGCGAGTCAAGGAGCCGCCAGGCGCATCTCGGCGGGGAGCGCCCGCTCTGCCCCGGCTGCGGGGTCCGGCACCGAGAGAAGACCGGGCGATGGGCGAGTAGGAGGAGGAGAAGGAAGGGGGAGCCCGCTGAGTGAAAAGGGGCCGCGGCCGCCGCTCATCAAAGTGCTTCCCCCTCCCCCAAGCGACACTTTCCTTTGGAGTCCGAATAAAATACGGTAACAGAATATGATGGAGGGCACACTGTTTCCTTAACTGCTTCTCAAAGGACCCGGGAGATCTTCTTAGGACCTTTAATAAGGCTTTGGTCGGTTCTTTTGTTGATCTCTCAAAATCAACTCCTTCTAATTGAAGTTGGAGCTGAAAGCGAGCTAATGTTCAAAGAAAGTGGCCGCCAGACCAACGAAATTACATTTTTTTTTTTTGGACGATGAGGGAACATCTAATCAAAGGCGCAGGGAAGGAGGGGTGGGAATGGGGGAGTACGAAGGAGAAAAGGAGGTTTTACAAGATCCTTCTCTGGTTCACAAAAGTCAGAGACACGGGCGCTTCTCTCCAGAACAAAGACACCGCGGCCCATTCACAAAAGGGAGAGAAAAAGAGAAAGTAGAATAAAAGAACGAGAGAAAAGGGAAAAAATGAAAGAGAGGAAGGGAGGGAGAGAGAAAGTGAGAGACCCTTTAAGAGGAAAAGAAACAGCGCAGACCGCAGCACTAACCCAGGCGGGGCACACCTTATGCTAGGGCAGAGCAAATAGCCCGCAAGGCCCGCGATTAGCCGCCCGCGGCTCGGAGCCACAGTGATGGTATTGAGGTTTAAAGAAAGAAACGAAATACACACCCACCCCGGGTTCTGGGAAAAGGCGCCGGCTGGAGCGCACTAGTTTGTAGGGGAAGAGTATGTGGACGTCCTAGGGTGCGCGTTGAGGGCGTCGGCGTCCGTATCCCCGCGTTGCTAGAGTCCTGGCCAGCGAACTGTGTGCCTGGGTTGGCCCTTCAGTGCCCAGGCGCGTGCCCTTGCCCCATCCCTGAGCCTCACGCATTCCTGCCTCCTCCAGGCCCTGTTTCGCTTGCAGCCGCAGCACCCGACCTGGGTCCGGCGCAGCGAGGTGGGACGGCCGTGCGCGTTGGAATGTGCCCGCGCGGTCCCCAGGGCCCGCCGCGCTGGAGTTTGGCGCTCTCGGTTCCAGATGCTGCCACCAGTCTCGGGGAAGTCGGGAGGTATCAAGTAGCACGGATTTTTTTTTTTTCCCTAATGAGAGTATTTATCTAATCCCAAATTGCAAGCGAATTTTCTTAATGCTCAGCCCATAAAACCCAGGGATTAAGAGAAGAAAAAGAAGAGAGGGGGAGAGGGAGGAGAACAGAGGGAGAGACACTGGGATGAAAGTTTCTTGAAAGCGGCGCGGAGGGTTGAGGCGGCCGTTGCTAGGCAAATGTCCAGGTGGGAGACGCTGGGCCAGAAGCCGCGACCGTTCCAGCCTCAGCCGCAGCGCAAGGAGGGAAAGTGGGGACAGCGCCGGAGGAGGTGAAGCCGTCCCAGCTCAAGGCCCCCGGGCTGGGGAGGGAGCGAGGGAGATGGGCCCCGAGACCCGGATCCAGCATGCAGGTGACCTCAAGGCCCGGCCAGACTCTGGAGGACGCTTGGAACAGGGGGAGGGGTTTGGCTCCAGGGATTAGGGATCCTGGCCAGGGCCGGAAGTTATGCACTGGCCCGCAGACTATGCCCAAGCTAGCCTGCCGCCAACGCTTTTGCTCCTTCGCGACCCCCAGGCCCATAGCCTCTTTTTCGGCAGCGCGGCTTTCGGGTGTCGGGTCCCCCGGCGTGCTGGGTTCGCGCCCGCTCTTGGGAGCCAGCCCCTGGGCACCACGCAGCGAAGTCGGGACGCAGCACTCTACCCGCAGGCCTGGCCCCGCCAGTGCCCCGGGTCCACGTTCCACTGCCGCTGAGGGGCGTTCGGGCGCCACTCAGCAGCCCAAATTGAAACCCTGGGAGGCTCGAGACTGAATCTAGAAGGGCAGGTAGAGGGGCTGCCGGGCGGCCCCTGGATACCCTAGTAAAACCGGGGCAAGGGAAGGTTTGTCACTTGGCAGATCAGGAGCGGCTTGGAGGGCGGAGGAGAGCAGCCTCTCGGGAAGCCCCTCGGGAGGGAAGGTTCCTCGAATCCAGGGTAAATGTAGTGGGTGCTGCCGGCCGCCCAAGCCCCCGGCTGCTTGGGGCAGGCGATTTCCGTCTGCCGGTTTCTGGGGGTTAGAACAGGATTCTGAGAGCTTTCCCCAGAGAACAGCAGTTCTCTCTGCTCTCCTGCTCGATAAAGAGGGCAAATACCCGATTTCAATGAGTTCCGGCAACTTTTCAATAACTTAAGAAAAACAAAAAAACAAAAAACCCTTGCCAAGAAGGAATTCTACCATAGCAAGTGTTTATCATTTTGAAAGAGTGGCAACTGGAGGCGGCTGCATGATTTCTGAACGAAATTGGTGTGTGTGTGTGTGTGTGTGTGTGTGTGTGTGTGTGTGTACGCGCTCATATGTATATATGATCTAGGCTAAAGTATAAATGCTAGTTGCCTGTTTCCTCTAAATTTCCGGACTTGTTGAACAAGCTTTCTTTGTTTGGACACCCCTGTAGAGGAGTGAAACTACCACAGAATCCACCAGTGTTTTCTGTAGCCTAGAACTTCTTGTTAAAAATCCTCTTTCCCTCATCTCATACTCACATACCTGCACACACTCCCCTCTCCCCCAACAATAATCCCCTTCTTTCACTTCAGTACCTACACAGTTGCTGGTTATGAGAATACACAGTTCTCCCTCATATGACTGCGAAACTGTAACAATGAAAAGTAATGACATGGAAAATTCATCAAGATATTAGAATTTTTTCTGTGGTGTAGAATCACAAATTTCCTCAAATCTTTAACAGAGATGACCCTTTACAATAAAGATGATAATTACACTGTCTAAGAATATGACTAATTACTTTTCAATTCACATTTGTGTGTCAGCAGGGCCCCTCTGGGATGGTGTAAACTTATTCAGCTCCAAATACAGCCCTGTATTCTGCCCTGCGTTCCACAGGACCCTTTTCTACACGAAAAGTCTATGGATGCACAAAATTCCACTCAAACCAATGTCCAGTTTTATTGCAAGAAAGTAGCAGCAGTGTCTAAGGTAAGAAAGTTTCTGCTTTTATTGAAAATTTATATGACTCAGTATTGTAATAAATAAACAACCATTTTCACAAAAAAAAATGACAGTGCTATGCTAGAGAAGAAAATATTAAATGGGGGGAGGGTTTACTTGTAGTGGCAAGACAGACTATTATCAATACAGAATAAATATTAACAGCATTCTTGAACCAATGTTGAGACGCAACAAAATGTAGGAACCAAGCAAGATGTAATAAATAATTATCCAGAGAAAAAGATGGTGCATTCTCAGATAAGACTGCCTTTATAAACTGATGCATGTCAATGAGTCCCATCCTCACAGCTCACCTTCAAACCACAGGGTTTGTCTCTGGCTATGTTAAAGGGCCATCCTCTGAGGAAAGCAGAGGAAGGAGAGGAACTCTATTATCCTTGCAGTGAAACGTTAACAACTGCAGAAAACTCCACGGGTAAATAGAACACAGTTTAATAAGCAGACTGAATATGATCTAACTATAAAATTTAGGTAACAGAGTGTTACATATGGCAGGACCGAAAAAAAATCATGACATTTTTCTTATCCCCTTGTTACCCCCCTCCCACTGTCATTATGCTATTACCAACAACAACAAAAATGTTTTAAATTTTCCTCCCATCAAAAAATGAGGGAAAATAATGAGAAGCTTTTTTTTTGAACAGTTTCTTGAACACCTCCAATACCAATCACTCACAAGGTGTTTGTGCAAATCTATTTCACATGATTTCAAGGAAATGATTAACTCACAAAAAAATCCTTAACAAAGCTATTTTGGAGTTCTGTATATTATCTGGAAATGAGGGAGGAAAAAGGGTGGTGGTGGTAAAGAAGTACAATCCAGTCAAACAAAATGTTAAAAGTTTTAAATCGACGAGTCTGACTTTTTCTGATCTGGGGAACCAAGACTCTAAAATGTTGGGAGAGATTCTGGTCTGACGGCTACTGAAGAACACATTTCTCCTCTTTCTTGGCCATCTTGCCTTTGTTTTGCTCCAGAGTTCGCTCCAAATGCTCATCTTCTTCTTCGGCCCTGGATGTCAGACAAACAGGAAACAAAATTATTTTTCTTCGTGGAGGGTAGAGCAGCACTCCCCCCTCGCCCGGTATTTTGGATCCCCAAGCCGGAGTGGGGGGCACCGGGCCAGTGGGACGCTGCCCCGGCCCTCCAGCGACCTCTGCATTGAACTTTCCGCACACTTCTCGGCACCTCGGCAGGTGGCCCAGCCTCGACCCCGATCCCAAGTCCCACTCACTGCTTCTCCTGAGCGTCCAAGTCCCTGACGAGCGCATCGCGCTTGTTCACCAGGGCCACCAGCTCATCCAGCAGGAGCTGTTCGCGTCGCTTCTGGGCCTCGGTCTTCTGCCAGTCTGCAGGGGACGGGAGGCTCGTTATCCACCGGCAGGGCCTCCGCACACCCGGCCCCCGCCCTCCCCTTCCCGCCTTTTCCTTAGATTTTTCGGCAAACCATGTTAAAGAGCCACTAAGCTAAGTGTTTTCTGGGGGTTTTGGCTATCGTGGTGAGGGTTTCACAGCTAAAACCCTACTTTGCAAATGTTAATATTTCCCGCAGATGGAGATAGCTGCGGCAGGGTGGGAGCCTGCTTAAAACCAGGTGTGAGCCCGTGGCTAGCCTGAGGTGAGCACCTGAATCCAGCCAAAGTGGGGGAGGGGAGCTGGAGGCCCAGAAGAGGTTGGCCCTGGGGTTCGTGGTGGGGGAAGTGGGTAAAAGAGGCGGCGGGAAACAGCGATGGGCGATAAAATCATTCCGAAAAGGCTAGAGAATCTGCCTGTGAACCTAGCCTCCTCCCCCACCCCCACTCTCACCCCAAACAGCCCATTCTTCGCTAATTTCCTCTTCGCTCTATTTTAGCAGTTGGATGTATCTCACACTGGGCGCCATATGCTTCACAATAACTTTAAAAGTAGTGAATCGGCTAATTAGCATTTTTCTTTGAAGTAAAAAATAAATTTGCTCTGCAATATTACACTGCAGCTCTCGATCGCATCACAGCCAGTTTTCTTTTGGAGATGTTTGCTGGGTGATTTCAAATCAAAGCACTTTTGCAAAGGAAAAATTACATATTTCTTTTTGAAATCCCATGTTAAAGGTTGGAAAATCCGATGGGCAGTGCTCTTTCCATGGGTAGGGGCGGGTTTTTTTTTAAGGTTTTGGGTCCCAATAATATATTTCCTAATTTTTGCTGGTCTGATAATTTTCCTAAGATGAGCAGCAGTTTCATTTAATAAAAACAGGACCAAATCGAACATTTAAAACACTTTTGAAACCAAAGCCAACTGCTCTCTGGCCAGACTGTAAGGGCTTGTAGCTGTCAATCAACCCCCAGTCTACCCCGCCTCCCTCATTAGGAAGGTAAACAATGAAAAGAAGAAGTAGATGATGAGGCAGATAGCAGAACAAATGAGGACCTATAGGGAAACAGGACACCAGCTTAAAAAAAAAAAAGAAAAAAAAGAAAAAAAAAAAACCATGGCCACTGACTCCTGCAGCCCCCTTCCCCCAACAAATGCACTTTCCAAAAAACAGAGGAGTGCAATCCTTTCGGGTTTCTCTCTTCTCTCTCCATTGCCCTGGGCAATCATGTTAAAACTCACATGGCTGGTGCTTATTCAGATAAACCTAACAATGCACACCGCTGGTTACCATGTGAATCTTCACAAACCACACAAGAATGTGCTGGTTCAAATCCCCCCGACCCCCTCCAAAGCAAAATTTATTCAAGACAGCAAACTGCTCAGCAGCTTTATGAAAGCAAATGGTGCTAGAGGGAATTCTATCTTGTATTTACAAATTAAAAATTAGATGCATCATCATGCAATAAAGGTTAGAATAGCAGCAAAAAGCTAGAATGGTCTATTCAATTTTATCACTATTCTTTTCATTATAAGCTCTAACACATACATACATATATATGAGAAACACGCTATATGTTAATTATCCACATTCAATACAAAACATCACACAAATAATAAGTGATCACTATTATATTCTTATAAAAAAGTGAAATATTCTATAGCATAGAGAGGAATAACGAAACTATTATTATGAAAAGCTTTTTTCTAAATATAAGAATTTTAAAAATAATAAACAACAAAATTGAAGAAAAGCCATATCTATCACAATTTTAGCCTTTGGATTTAAATGCAACCGAGGAACAGGAATTTGGAAAATCTTCTACTCTGGTGCTTGTTCTCGAAGCAGTCTTATTCTACACAGCAGGTAAATTAATAGGCTCTCCAGGGTGGAAAGATCTTAAAGGTCATCCATCTAGTCTAATTTCAGGTAACTGTAGTTCTAGAAATATTAATTCCAGAAAAAAACCTGCTAAATTTGTAAAAGATCTGGAACTAAATTTTGTAATTATTAAGATTACTAGGTTTGATGAATATTATTTCTATTTCCAACCT